AGTCACTAAGTGGTAGGTGGTATTAAAAAACCTACTGTCAACAAAATGAATGGACCAAATTCTGTCATAGTTAGAAGCTAATTCACATACCTAATTCGTTTAACACATATTAATCAGGTATGGTTTGAACACTATTTATCAGTCACATCAGTTCGCCAGCTTTCAAATGAGCTTTCTTTTAAACAATAGCAACCCACAAATGCTATTAAATGGCTACGTAAGTAGTAGGTCGTTTGATAATTTATTTTTAGTGCCCTAATGTGACATAACATGAACAAAAGTATTGTTATTTGTATTCGTTTGGTCGCAAATTACATTTCCCTGAAATTTTAAACTTGAAGAAAGCGTACCATCCCGTTTTAGAAATATTTTATCATGCGATGCTTAATGACCATGAAAATCAACGAAAAAGGCATATTACTTAGAAAGGCATTTAGGAGAAAATGTAATACCTCCTGGTGGTCTGAGTGAGGTTCATCCTTTAATTCCAAATATTGATGCGAGTGGAATATATTGAGAATAAATTCATGCTAGTCAATATTACGAAAAAAATTGATCCACATGTTCGAATTGGAAGCATATTTCAGAATGTTGGTGGACAATTAAGAGTCAGAGACCCCGTTGCAGTTAGAATCTCATTTTCTGCTTTATTAGACAAAGCCCTTTTTTGTAAAAAAAAATAGGAGTGCAATTACAGATATTTGTGAAATGTAGTCAACTTTTTTTGAGATATGTTTTTGGCCGTGGTATTTTTGTTTGTTCTTTAACCCGAGGAAAGTAGTGTTCTAATAGGAAATGTTATGGGGGTTACTAGATTATTTGCAACTGCAAACCACCTCACCGAATTGCATTCTGTATAATTACGCCAATGGACTGAATGGACTTTGGAATTTCGGTTGATATTCGCAAGTCATCATTTTTTTAAATGAGTTAAGATTGCTGGATTTGTTGACGTCAGTGCACTGGCTCAGCTCAAGTCTTACCTGGTAAAAGACAGTACGGAACACATTGGACTGTGGGACAAGTTTGATTTGCGACAGTGGCGACTGGTTTGGTAGAGAAAAATTCATCTCTGCTGTCTTGAATTTTAACTTATTTTGTTTATCGAGGTAAGAAGATATGTAAGTTTGCTTCAAACAAAACAACAAAAGAGAACAATTCTCCTTGTTGTTTAGCTAGAAAAGGACCCATTCTTGCTTCATTTCCTCTGTAATTCTAGCAGGAAAATCACCCTTTAAACGGTTATAGTTATTTGTATATGTCTTTATAACTAATGAACTGTTATGAACATTGATGGTGGCCCAAGAAGACAGAAAACATTCGTGTAAAATATGTGTACGTAGGAACAGCTAGGTGTCATCTAATACGCCCAAATCCTAAAAAGGTTTGTTTCTAAGCGAATCTTTGGGATGCAGCCCTGGAAGTTGTTAGTCTTACATGGACGTCGGCTTCTTATAAATATCGTCTTTAGTCAAGGGAGCAAATAAATAATTGTATATGCACGTACAGTTGTGAAATAATATGGGTTATGAGCTGCAATGCGTCAGGTACTCGTAATTAACTTCACTATGCCGAATTGCAATGTTTTGTGTATTAAATCTGTCAGGCCGTTTGTACCGTTAAGTATTTACACATGCTGTGTGCGCTATATTGTAGTTGTCAGCTTTATCTCATAGACATGGTTCCTAAAGTTGATCTATCCTGTTCGACGAGTCCAGCACACCATTTCTTCTCTTATTTCGTTGCTGACGAACGGTAGTAAAGCATGCAGATTTGCTTTTCGAGGGAAGCACGCAAGAGGTCAACCGCCGAGTTTTGGGCCAGTCGTGTAATATATGCCACTTAATACGCGGAGGATGTTGGCAGATTTAATAAGTTATTTTACCTATTTTTGCATAACTGAAAATAACTTCCTCGCATTACAGTCCACATCAGCTAGGGCAAATGCTTCCGTAGAGAACAGGTTCCAGCCACCTGCGCTATAAAGCTCCACCAGGAGCATTGCATTAAATCGCACGTTGGTAAATTAAACCACCCACCCAACATTAAGGTATGGAATCCACAAATGCTGATAAAAAATGAGCTGACTGTCCAAGCCAGATTTCCACTAGATGACTACTTGGTACTACTGGGGCCGTTCTGACAGTTTTCTAAACTGTTCAAATGGATTATTTAAGTTTTTTAAACCCCCTACTAATAAGGCATGTATAATACTTACATGATGCACTCCAACTTGATTGCTCGAACCTAGTAGTTGACGTAAGGCGGGGGAGTCAATTGAACCAACTGTGTATAAACTTACAGCCACGGGTGAGGCCGAGTTTTCGGGCTTATGCAAATACTTTCCCGCTGAAGTGAGTCTGAATTCCACAAAATTAGCCTAGTTGGACATAACTGGATCCAGTGTTATTTCATTCATTTGATCTCTCAATGTTCAACATACAATTTTTAATAACAACAAGGTTTAAACTGGTAAAAAACCATGGATTTATTTCATGCAAAGCCAATTGTGTTTATCTAAAACTATATGGCCAGTTAAGGTACTATTTGTAACGTTTCGTGCTTGCTGCACGTGAGCAGATGCTCTTGCTCAAAGAAGTAATCGGATGAACAGTAAATCTCCGGATATTTTAGTCCTCGGTCGAATTTCAGCCAAAATCAAATTTGCGCAGAATATCATGTGGCAGGGTGGCATCGTGTTGCGTGGATAACTGACCAATCCCAGTGCGAAGCCATCACATGAAGTCCTTTATTTGTCACATATAATTCCGCCTTATCAGGCCAACGAGCAGGTGGACGCAGGAGTGGATTGTTATTAATTGGCACTATATTGGCTGCAACAAATTTCACAGGTATATTTTATATTAATGCTGCTTCTTATTTACGTAATGCCGTTGAGCTACTGATGATGGTCATATGGTACTTAAGCACTAATAACATAAGTTAAGACTATTAAGTGTCACTCAAGTCAATTATTGGAATATTTTTTACAGATCCACTCATTTTTAACAAAGCTTTTAACGTATTCCACTTTTATTATATCTTAAGTGGATACTAAATAATTTTAAATTGTGCAAAATAGAAGAAACAGGATTTCTTAAAGACCAATATGGATTCCGTCAGGCAGGTGGCTTAGAAATGAAGTAACTGCTTGTCATTTCTCACATTAAGATCAACGTGAATACTATTTACAATGCATGTTTTCATTCTGTATCTCAGTGTGCTGACCTTATGCTTAATTACCGACAGATTATGTTTGCTAATCTATTTTTTACCCGTAAGCTCGCAATTTCAGTAGAAATAAAATAAATCCATTTAATTGTGCTTCAAGAACGTTGTTTTTAAAGTTCGCTCATGAACTAGCGTAAAAAAGGTACGAGAAACAAGGTATGAGCAAGTCATGTACATGGAGAGCAATCACTACAATGCATCTCTGGAAGTCTTACTGGTTCACCGTTTTATGTGGCAGTTTTCTACACCTGTAATACTAGCATGTCATGTATGGGAAAGTCACCCTCTACTCGTACAAAAAACGTATTTTCGAATGCAAATGAAGTTGTTGTCAGCCGTATGAATGTAGTTATTGTGTATCCTATGGCGTACATCAAGTAGGCGGCGGTAAACAGAAACACTCGACTTATTCATGATCTTGCCTATTATTAGTTAAAGCATGCTTTTAGTACGGAAAAGTAATTCGTCAAAATGGTATTTGGCGAGCATACGTTAGCTTCCGATCAATCCTCATCGGTCTGGTAACTTTCATCAGAGAACAGGGGCAAACGCTAAACAGGTGGTGCATTCGCTATCTCCCTTCATCAAAGTGAGGTATACCAACAAGGTGTGGCAGAGCTCGATCAGGGACCGCAGCACAAGTGGCAGAGAAGGTTTGGTGGAAATGTGCCAGGAGGAAAGAACGCTAAATTTTGTCCACAGTTGAATGACAGTTGGCTTCTCAAGGCGCTCGGCATGCGCGATGTTAGTTGGTGCAAAAAATACGGACTTTAGATGTTGACAGCTGTCTCTAGCATTCAT